GGCCCATAGCATGCTGGCATGGAGCCCTACAAAGTTTGTTCAAATGAATGACCTTGGCCCACTTTCAAGGTCACAGGGGTCAAATATGTTAGAATATACAAAGGACTTCATCTCAATAAGCAAAAGTCTATGAGTGCCGATATTGGGTCTGTAGCATGCTGGAAGGAAAGGCTACCAAGTTTATTTAAATGAATGACCTTGAACAACTTTCAAGGTCGCAGGGGTCAAATATGTCAAAATCTTTAAATAGCTTCTTCTCAAATACTAGAAGGCCTAGGGGGCTAATACTTGGCCCATAGCATGCTGGCATGGAGCCCTACAAAGTTTGTTCAAATGAATGACCTTGGCCCACTTTCAAGGTCACAGGGGTCAAATATGTTAAAATATACAAAGGACTTCATCTCAATAAGCAAAAGTCTATGAGTGCCGATATTGGGTCTGTAGCATGCTGGGAGGAAAGGCTACCAAGTTTATTCAAATGAATGACCTCAACCCACTTTCAAGGTCACAGGGGTCAAATATTTTAAAATATACAAACGACTTCTTCTCAACAAGCAAAAGTCCATGAGTGCTGATATTGGGCCTGTAAGATGCTTGGAGGAGAGGCTACCAAGTTTGTTCAAATGAATGACCTCAACCCACTTTCTAGGTTTGGCTTGCTTTTTGTCAGATGACCGTTAAGGCCCATGGGCCTCTTGTTTTTGTTTTTTGTTTTGTTTTTGTCTTTTCGCTCTGTTAGAGGACCTAATTCCTACAGGTGATTGTGGTCTAGTTTTTGTGTTTTTAATGGGATATTGTTTTAAATGGTGTTTTGTTTGGCGTTGTCTCGGGAGTGTTTTTGTGAGGAAGTGGGTGTGTCTAATGTACTCTGTACTTCCAGTCCTATGTAAGATTCGTCTAGACCTAAATCTAACTCTTTTTTAGTACAGAGTTTAATGTTTCGAACAGACTCTTTTGTCGAGTTTGGCCAGTACTGTCAATAGTGAGCTAGTTGTGTTTATGTTTGTTGTTTTGTCACTGGCTCCTTTCCGATTGGCGTGCCAGCTTGTGTAATTTGTAATTGGTCTAGGGTGCTTTAAATACACGTGGTATTAATGGTCTTTTTGGTGACAGGAGTGATTGTTATCTCGTCAGTTTATGCTTTCTTAATGTTGACTGTGTGTTGTACAGTTTGTTTTTGTTGTTCTAAAAGGTGTCACCTTTAATGTTTTATATCCGTCTATAATAATGGATGGTGGTGTGGGTGTGTTTTGAATATCAGAAGGATGGATAAAGATTTTGTCCTGTGAAATTTACCAGGCGTGTTTCCCTTATGATCAAAATGCCTACAGATATATTTGTGGAGAGGTATCCTGTAGACAACGTCCTTGCATGTTTGTTTCTGTTTGGTGTTCCGTGTGTTGGTGAGGTTCAAAGGGGATTGGTGATTTCCTGTCTAAAGGTCTGGAGCTATAGGGTGAGAACGGGAGTCCCGACACTTGTTTTAAACAAATACCCCTCTTAATTTTATATTGCGGTCACACAGATGAGAATTACTTGCGATGGTAAAAATAGGACCCTGGGGGCACCTGCATGGGACTGAATATCCCCTATTGTCCGTTTCCTATCAATACTTATGTAGGGCCCTATATTTCCGTCCCGGAGGCTGGGTTTTAGAACGATGACCGATTCTGTTGTTACTATAGGTGTATATAAAGACTCCAAGGAATCACACTATTACGTACTTTAAATCCGAGAATAAAGTGCGATAAACACAGTTTATCAAGGAAAATAGATTCTATGTAACACTATTATATGTAGTCCAAGTAGTACAGCACTATATACAATCGTTTCTAAAAAGCAAACTGGAATTTTATACTAATCTAATACGATGTCGACACTTGAACACTATTCTAAGATGTCACTAGGGTGGGGTCAGGGAGAGGTCTCGGAGTGTCGACCGCCCGGGTGAGAAGTGATCAAACATTAGGAGGTTCACACGAAAGCCGCCTTAGATATATTCTCAGGACGCCAAATAAATGCACATTTAAACCATATATTATGAATTATAACCCCCCTAAAGGCCTCAATTTTGGTAGGGCTTTAACAGAGTACAACAGAATCCCAGTCGCCCATTGGCTGTCTTACTTGCGAGAGGCTTTTAAAGGACATTTTAGTTTTTGACGTAAATCCGATGCCGCCATTCAGTGGTCAGCGACTCCTTTAACCGTATCCAAGTATTGGAGTCTAGTGATAATTTCTAGTAATGACCCCAGTGTTTTGTCCAGTAACGTTACCCCATAATGGTGGCACGGAACGGAATTATCGCCATTGTACAATACCTTTCCTTTATGAAACTTACAATCAACTTTTCTCAATGTTAGAACCTCGAGAATCGTTGAAAAAAAATCACATGACTCTGCAACATGACCTGATGATATTCTCTATTGGGTCCTAAAACATCTACCAGTCATCATAGGAAAACCTTCATGATATTTTCAGTCATATTTTTAGATCGCTTAATGTCCCAAAGTCATGGAAAATGGCAACTGTGATTCCTACCACCAAACAGTTTTAAGATACGACAGACCCCTTAAGTTATTTCCCTTGTGGATCGCTGAGTGTTTTACCGGTTGATGACCCTAATGACCTTTTATGTGTTGACTGGCCATAAAGACTGTAATGATAATAGTAATAATTATACAATTGTAAATCGTTTACCACAAACACACAGTAAATACTACAAGATTCTGAATATCATATTCAGTATTTAATTTCCATTTTCAGGGGTAACCTGAGAATCACAAACTTTTTCTTAAAAGGGACTAGGACATTGTTTCCTCTTCCGGTTTACGGTGAAACGGAACTCGAGTTTTAATACGAGTTTCGTATAAGACCAATTCCTTCTTTGAGAACGGTTTTAGGTTCGATTCCTGTCCCGAATTAAGATAAGTTCATGCAGCACGTTGGACTTGTCTAAACATCTGCCATTCTTTTCTTAAACGAAACTGAAATCTAGGAATACGAAGAATACGTAGTGACAGAAAGTAGTACGCATCGAATTGAAATTTCGGATTTAAAACCATCAAAATTCATTGCTATTTTTAAACAGTTTATCATTCTCTACTTTCACTATTATTATGAGAAATTATAAAAAATCGGGATGCTTTGACTTAACACTCGATCTGTATCACTACGCCATATACCGAAATGCCCGCAAGAGAAGACTGATGACCCAACGTGGCTATATATATGTCCAAAATTCGAATTGTTAACCTACTTTAAGGTAGGTATCTTTGTTGTCCAAACAATGCAACATTTACCACGCTGTCTGTTTTCCTGTTACATATCAATTGGTCAGGCATCACCAGGAATCCAACCTTATGCTCATCCGTCTAAATAGGCATCCCCCTGGACATCGATATCAATAAAAGCGAAAACTTAATATGCCTGTTTTTTTGTTTGTTTTTTGTTTTTTTGTTTTTTGTTTTTTTTTTTTGATGTATTTTTTTTTTTCCCATACGTTTTAATTTTTTTTAGATTGTATGATGTCTTTTTTTCCTTTTTGGATCGCAATGTGTTTCACCAGTTGATGGTCCTAATGCCCTTTGATGTGTTGACGGGCTGTAATAATAATAATAAAGTTTTATTGATTTTTCTTCATATGTCTGCATTTCCTTGTGTTTTTCGACATTAGTTTGATGTATCCGTAATATATAGTCAATGATCAGAACGTAATGAATAGTTCAGATGAAAGACTTTGACAGTTGCCATGTTTTAAGTATGATAAACAAATCAAACTGTGAAATAGTTCGTTGTTTATCCAAAACAAAACTACATCTAATTATAATTTTTTTTTCGAAAGGTGCTATTTATTAGAATGGCATGATTACCATGCTATATAAGAAACATAACAATCTCATTTCTTGAGAAATTAGTTTAACCATGGTTCATGATATTATTGCACATAGGGAACTTCGTCGTGCATACTCACGAGATTAACACGAAAATGTATTGCTAAGGAATACGATATTTTCCGCAGCAATTAATGTCGGTAGGATGTTTAGTCCAAGGATAAATGTTTCATCTCATTTCATACAAACTAATATAACCAAAGTGAATTCTTGAAATTCTTGTCCCTTTTCTTATCTGATACTCGCAAATATGTCGAAAGATGATAAACGTATTTCGTATTTTTGTCGTCATTATGAACCTCTGATAAACATTTGTATGTAATAAAATATTTTCTACTTTATTCATATGTATGTTATTGTAAAACATGACAACACCTGCTTCCTCGGTGATGATTTTGAAAATAGTTTATAATGTTATTGCACATGGGAATCAAAAGAGGACGGACTGAATTATATATAAATATGTAGAATTAGAGTTTGGCGTTTTAAAGACGTATACTACTATTCACCTACCTCGAATTATTGCTATGAATAAATATCAGATATAAATATCAATGCCGAAAATACCTACATTGTATAACATGAACTTCGGCAGCTACGAAACTAGTCTTACCTCCCTTTTACCGCATAAATATGACCGTTTTTGTTGCCTCAGGTCTTTATTCAATTCCGACATACGTCATCGCTTGAATTAAATTTAATTCGATAGTTCTTTCAATGACTGAGCAAAGGCTTTGCCATTATCTGTTATCATATTCAGTGCAGCTCTTAACAGGATTGGAACTTACAATGTTTACAGAACATTCATGGCATTTTTGTAGTCAAGGTAGAATGAACTATATAAGTCATATTGGGGCAATCGTTAAATCTGATGAAAGTGGGGTATGGTTATGTTTTTGCCACGTATCAAACTTCAGTGAAAAGGACACACAGACATTATCATTAAAACGCAGCCCTACATATGAAACCACCAACAACATTGATGAAATAGAAATTTGCATAATTCATATCAAAGTTTTGTTTTTTAACTGAGAACACATTAGTCCAGACTTCGATGAATGCGTGATGAAATGAAATTTCATAACCGATTTACTAAATCACAGTAGTTCAGATGATCTTGAATTCGTACAAACTCTTGAATGATCCTGAAGTACCGGATATACTTCCGTAAATGATAAATTTCTCACCAGGTGAACATGACGTCACTACCGCTTCCCATTCATCATTATTATTCTCAAATTTACGTCCGAGAATAGACGCTGCTTTTATTCTAACAGACGTAAACCGCACAATAATTTGTGTTCTGCCTGTCACTAGGAGATCCAATGGTTCAAGCAGACGACATTGATATTCCCGCGCAAACTTGTAAACTTTAGGAAGGGGTGAACACTGTTCTATAGTCTTACGGCATTCGATGATGTAGTTAATGGCTTGTTTATACTCATCTTTGTCCGACTTACTCATTAGCTTGAGTTTATAGAAACCTTCTCTGGGGAAATGCGCCGTTACGTGAATTTCATTGGCTGTACTCTCCACCATTGCGTAGTCATCAATGTCTGCGATGTTTCCTAACCCATAACTGAGTCGTGTGACCACTTCCATACATTTACTTGTCGCCAAACTAAAAGTTACCCGACCATTGTCTGTAACAATCGAAGGATTTATAGATTCTGGGGAAATAAACCCAAATGACTTCACTTCTGGGACAGGACCCCATGGCCCAAAATGATCCGGATAGGGCTGACAGTCTGGTATAGCTTCATGACACCGAAGGTAGTATTCTACAAGGCCGAGAGTTTCTGTGGCGTCAGGATCAATATTACCAAGTATTTTCAAAATGTATTTACCTTTTGTTGGTGGACGGGCCGTCACTTGAAACTTGCCATCTGACAACTTTAAAACCATAATATGTTGCCGGACCTCTTTTTCGTTCTGAATAAGTTGTGCACTAACAACTCCTAAACAAACCTTATCGCCACTTTGGATAGTAACATTAACCTTTTTCCAGACGTCCAACACGCTTATTTTATGCGACACGAATTGCACTCCCCAATCAATGGCCCTGTATACAGGTTTCAAAACTTTATTAAATGTTGTTAAGTCCACTGGCTTTTCAAGAAATTGCCAGAGTTTGCTCTCCTCTAGATCTGTGCTCAGACACGGAAAGTGTGCAAATATGACGTTTTCAGGGTCTGGCATGAAATAGAATTCTTTGTATGCGTACATGAATTTTTTGTTGGAATCGAGGTGACCGGCGCCCCAGGAGCACTCGATCAATCGCCAGTCATCCTGCACAAAAACTGCATTCCAGCAGTGATTAGTAGTGTCCAACTCATGAAAGTTCTCAAACGGGTTATAGTCAAAGCCCTTTGCAAAACCATGGATACACTTCGCGGGGATCCTGGCAACTCTGTATGAAAATAATACAATAATGACACTTCTAAGGTCGAGCAATTTTTCCTTATTCTGTTAATCAAATTCTCTTATCTGGAGGTCAATGCAGAAATGCTTGTCCGTTATGAGACAACTATAATACTGCACGAGTTATGCTATTTACTGAAGAAACTCTGAAATCATTGATGTTAGTGGCAAATAGTTTTTTTAAACTGTATCTCATCAGAATTTGGGTTTTGTTTTAACCTACCATACATCTGGGTCCCATAGTTGAATATGTAAATGTTAACAGCATGATGATTTAGTATTAACTTTTATTAAACATTACGTTAATCATAAACCATTATTTTTCGTGCCCACAACGGCGTCAGTGAAATATATGAAATAACGCTTTACTGGGAAACATTCGAAGAACTGACCTGCATAATCCTGCGAACAGGTTGGAATATCCAGAACTAACGGCTCTCTTCAGTCTGAGAACAGATTCAGCGTCCACCGGCTTCCGCTTTCCCAGGAAGTGGGAGTCAGTGTCGTACCTGTTAAAGGATAGGCGAAGTCAAAACAAATTTATGACTGGACGGAAATGCTCATGTTGCTTCCGTCAAAGATATTTAATTGGTGCATTTGTGAGATTTTGTAATGGATACAGAGCTCGAAACATCACTGACTTGTGCTGATTTGTGACTTGATCCAAGGCGAATATCAAATTTAATAAACAAAAACAAAATCGGAAACAGAAACAATTAGGATAACTTTTGTAGACTTGTTGGTATCACTTTGTAAAGTCTTCATTCGTCTCAGGTGACAGAATATTTAGGTTTTTAGCATCACTGATGAGTTCAAAACAGCTGTATAATGCAACTTAGTTCATTGCTTGACTCTACTGTATCTAATTTTAAATTTGTATGAATAGGTGTTATCTATATGTGTGATACGTTAACCCCACAAACGTGTCCAGTTATTGAATCAAAAAATATTCCTTGATATCTCAAAGTGGCTTAATCTAAAAAGAACAAATAGAAAATATCAAGCCATCTTATAAAATAGTGTGCAATGAACTTTAGAAGCATATTGATCCCCGAACATCATTATTATATTTCGTTTTATATGAATTTGCTTTATTCATGAGTACAAGGCATGATAACCTGTGTAAGAAAAGGTATTAAGTATAGCTCGGAAATGCTATTATCTGTATAATGCCTTCAGTAAGAGAAGTTTTAACGTAAAGATTAAATTGCGTGTTATTTTTAGTAATTTTGTAAGACTTTTCTGTTACAATGAACAAGTGACCAACTATCGCATTGTATAAGACATTATGCAAGATACTTAACAGTATATTGAGAGAAGAAAATTACAATAAGTTAGATTTTTACAATGTTACGATTTTGTCATCTGCACTGTCGCAGTGTTAAACAAAATATGTAATCATCAACATGCTTATGGTAACAAATATAGGATTTATCTGTATTGTAAATTGTTAGCCACTCTTTGTTAACCATTCAGTGAATGCACAGTGCAAGGTAAGGTCTTGTGAGTAAGCTTAAGATAACAACACATCAACACATTAGAAATTATTCACATCAACGAATATTGACCCAATTTATATGCCTAAGAATTTTATCATATACGAAAATGCATTTTGTTTTAACAGTTTTAATAATGAGACACGTAGATGACATATTTAATTGGTATTATTTCCTACATGTAATACTCATTTGCCATCTTACGCTATGTTGTTTGTGATCCATCTGTAAAACCCTCGGACTTTCTCCAGGTCAGTTTGTGCCGGTAACATTAGGTATCTTGCTAGGATCTCGAGCGACCCTTCCATTGATCTTGGAGCCTTCAAATATTGTGTGAATATAAAAATAAATGACAAATGATTTTAGTCCCACATTGACAGTGCATATTTGACTACTTAGTGTATCTACACATTCTAAAAATATGTTGTTATGTAAAGTAAACCATGCATTTATTCCACTGATCATGTATATTTTAAACCAAGCTTTGTTATTTGTCTTCTTTTTACATGATACATTATCCAAACGCTACAAAAGTAGACCCCTGACATTATACATCTATTTTGACAAATAACTCCCCTGCATAGTTTTGATCGTCTTTTTGCTATTTTAATTTATATCTATACCTTTATATACAGTTTTTTTATCAGAAAATCGATTGATCTATGTCACCAATCAACCTTTGAACATTCTTATACAAACTTGTATTTAGTCATATATTACACAAATAGCTACCGAACATGTATTTTCTTTGTTTCAAACCCGTCATAAGATAATATATTTCCTGATTTATCAAATTTGAATTGTCAGGAATTTTTACTTTAGCATCAGAAATCTACTAACTTGATTTGATTCTAGTGACATTTCGCCATCATTGCTTTATCTGGAAATGTTTACACTTATTCTAATTTTGAAATGCAGTACTTCGTAATTGTGTCGACGGATTTTAGTTGTTTTTCAATTGGACAACATTAATCGATATAATCATGGTGATTAAAATAAATAAATATCAATAATATTTCGTATCGATATCTTTGTTATATGACTTATCAAAATCACTGTTAGAGATATACTTTATTTACACTTTATTCTATTGTACTATCATACTATTTTAATATTTTTCATATTTAAGTTTAGGCTTTATTCTATTTTTGTATATTTGAATAGTTTACAGATGTTAGTAAAACAAACGTATATACCTGGATTACTGTCAAGCTAAAGTTACCTATATTTCCATCAAACAGCATGCACATGCAATAAAACATCGTGATCAAAACTGAAAGCAGCTAAATGGATAATTGATATATTTGGATGTTTTTCATTTGATTAAAATATTTGATAAAGTAGGCGATACCTTAAATATTCTTTAAAATCATAAATATGAAAAGTTTTAATAAGTTACACGCCAAAAGACTGCAGAAAAGATTCATATATAGGTCCGTCACATTCCGCTACTCGAATGTATAAGGAATTTGTAACATATCTACTCTGAAGAAACGAATAGAGCTAGATATATCTTTTCTTAATTTATTATTTATTTCTTTCTCTCAGTTCCTCTTTAAGAATGATCCTTAAACTTATGAATCACAAATTAGACTCTAAATCAACCGTTTTCAATCACGATTCAATGAAATTTTATACCATAATAGTGCAAATTAAACATTACTAAATAATTATGTGAATTATTTTTTCTTCAAAACATAGACTAAGATGAATAAATCAAATCTGAATAGTTTTAGAAAAGATCCTTTTTCACATATACTTGATGTTGTTATAAAATTATCAGATACATGAAAATAACCAAAAAAATGTTTTGAATTATGGTACCAGTACATGGATTTTGGCATGTCGTTTTCGATTTTGCTCGGTCGCCTCTTAGGCTTCAAAATTTAGGTCCTTTAAATCACTGACGAGTCCTAGAAATACGGAACAGCTGTAATGTTTTGCTATACTTATGGAACTCTTAAAAGTGTTATTCACTTGTATGCATTTTGTACAATCTACAAAATCACAGGAATATCACCCACCGACACCAGGAAAATTACACACATTTTTACCAGGACCATAACAAAAGTTCATATCATTTCAACCTTCAACATTACCAAGGTCAAGTAACCTTCACCATTTAAGGGCCATTATTATCTCAACCTTCACATTGCAAAATCAGGGCTATACAAGAACTTCGCAATCACAAAGGTCAAGGACACGCAAGCCTTCACCATCACAAAGGTCAAGGTCATATCAACCTTTAATAATACCGCGTCCGTCTTAATCTTTTCGAAGTTTCTATAGCTGGGTAATACTACTTTAAGGTCGGGCTGTTTGAAACAAGATAAACAAGTGATATCAATGCACACCATTAGCTGGATACAAACCGACATCCCTACAAATGTATACTTCGTTATGTCGAATTTTGTGAAACAACAAAGTGTCGCCAATTTCACCAAGTCACTCAATATTCACTGCCTATTTTGGAAATAAATGTCATTCCAAAGACATGATTTACACCGCGTATCTACATGAGACAGAGTTACTTTGCAGGGTTATTCAAAATTGGATACACGTATCTTTCAAACGCAGAGGTAGAGAATACTTCATGTTGGTGCGTACGCATACAGAAAAGTAAAATCACTAAAAACTGGCATCAACGAAAGAAGTCACGTGTATATATTTATGACATGAGAGGGTGTTTTTACCTTATCCTTACTGCTAGCATAACCACAACACAAATTCTGTGTACCGTGAGCTGGAAAATGATAAATATACATCACTTTCTTTTTATAACTTACTCTTATCATTGTGTTTTAGAGAATCGTCTACTTAAAAATATGTATTATTGATCTTAAGGCCATACTTGTTGTGGTCTCAGGTATGGATATGATATTAGAAATAGTAAATGAGATGAACTAAATATCCTGGCAGTTTTGATCAAATGAAATTCAGGTTTTATATATCAGTGTTGACAATAGAGTAATTAGAAACACTAACACTGTGCTGTAAAATGTGTTTCGAATAAAGAAAGGACAGGTACATGGGGTTTACTATAATGTACTATAAATATGTATTCATATGTTAAATGAAATGTATTCATAATGTAAATAAACTCTCGAAAATTATTCCAAATATTTTACATGAAGCAGATGAATTTCTCATTTTTTACAATACAGTATGACGTCATCGCAATCTACTTTGACTCAATGCAATGCAGGAATTCCTAACAAATTAAACATAGCTCGGTAATGCTATAAGCAGTCGTAATATTAAAATTTCAGAATTAATCATTTTCCAGTTATTTAATTGTAGCTGTTAAAGCCTCGACTTCCTTTTATGATTCACATAAGTAAAGCTTTTAAACATGCGTAGATGACAAGAGGGAAATTATAACTATTAATAAGTGACAGAAACAGTTATATAGAAGTGATGGTGACTAGTAACAGAAATTAAACCAATAGACGACTAGAGGCGCCGGAAACTTATCTACATGATACCGAATTAGAAAATCTGTAATATCACTTAAATAGATAACCGTTAACAAGCAATCTTTTTGTTGTTGCAAAAACAGCATTCACATATCATGTATAGAAGAATAATTGAAACTAAAACATTTTTGATATGTTAAGCAAAAGTCATCAAACATTGCATGGAGGGTTCATTAAGAAGGCAATTGCACTTACAGAGAGGGCGTGCTCGTCCACTTTGTTTAAGGCCGTTACATCTGGAATAATATCCTCCCTTTTGGTTGCTGGAGGACGCGGTGGGGGCAGTTCCACGTCCGCTAGGGGTACTTTAGGTTTCTTTCTTGGCACAGACAGTTTAGGCGAGGTCGGTACTAGCGGTGGAGCCATCTTGAAATTAGCTGCACGTGAATTGCCAGGGATCTTGGGCGACTGGACGCGTTTGAAGACCGGTCGGTTGTCACTGGTGCTGTGACTGATACCGTTTTGTCTGGTGTCTGGTATCTTATGAAGGACAAATTCAGGGTCGGGAAAATGGACATGGCGTTCTGGTCTGTCTGTTGTAGAAGTCGTCGTTGAAGGTGCATTCACTACTTGAATGAACTCTGATTTTGATGATCCACAGCCCATGGTTATTTTGATATAGAAGTATATCTGAAAAATTACAATATATACCAGAAATTTTGAGTCTCAGTCAACATAAAGGAATACTGAACGCTTGAACTAGGAAAATAATATCCAACTGTTTATCTTGTATCCCATAATTCATATCATGGCATTATGAAAATGTAATGAGATCAAAACATTGACTCGTTCAAAATCATGTAACGATAGATATAAAAAAAACAACCACAGGAGACCAAACGTGTAAACAAAACCGTAATTCCAACGAATTCGATTTGATAAGGACAAAAAGACTAGTATGGAGACATTTGAAAACGTTCAATGATAATTAGTCCGCTTGTTCCTGGATATAAGCGTTTTTTCTAGTAATGCAACGTTCTTTAAATAAGAAATGCGACATACAAGTTATGCATTCGCCTTCATCTCTACTTCCCAACCCACCACTCTACCTGTCTTCAGTTTTGTCTGTGTGCCAGTTTGTATTTGGGACGGTTGAGTATGCGCTATGATACATGTATATTGAATAAGTCAAAGAAGTAACCACACGCCTAACTTACTTTACATAACCTTGGCAGGCCAACGATTGGTGTTCTCGTTAACAAACGAAAAGAACATGATCAAAGCTCTACCTCACCCAAATATTAATCAAGTATTAAAATACACAATAAATGATCTGATTAAATAAGGCTCTTAAAGCATGTACGATTTCAACATAGAATACTTTGGTATCAATACACAAGAAATGTTTTACTTACTATGTGTCAAAGATATTATCATACATAGATTATGTTATGTCACTTGTATGACAATTTAAGTATATCATTACATTGAGGTTTTGTCTCCACACAAAGGGACGTGTCTATTTCAGCTACGAAATCGAAGATCTATTGAATATCTGACAGGATTAAAATATCATATGTCTTAACTGATAAGTTCGCAGTGATAAATAGGGTTGGGGAGTGTCATCCGGTGTCTTGTTCCCTCAGACGCCTCCATTATCGCTCATGTAACACGTTTGAATTCCGCAATCATGCAGTAAAGCCACAAGTGAATAACGCCTTTCAAAGTTTGAAACAGATACACGATAGCCAAAGTTGAACTAAATTTCATTATACAGCTGTTTCGTCTTTCTATGACTCGTCAATAATGTTATGGCCTTAAATTGTTTAAGTTTAGGAAGAGAATAAGGAAAGTCCAACTTGACCGAAATACTTGTAAATCGCTAATGATAATCGAAAACAGGTCAAGAGGCATTAAACATACTGTAGTGAAAACTTTAGTGAAGGCAGCTCAACAGTGTGTCTAGTTACACGATGTTTGACAGTGCCGATAGATAGACCTTAAAGCAAAAAATATAAAGGACACTTTCTGTGTATTATAACATTATCTATCATTTATAAAAGGCCACGTCAATTAGATAGTAATATATAATCATATAATATAAATAGGTTCAGATTATAACATTATCTATCATTTATAAAAGGCCACGTCAATTAGATAGTAATATATGATCATATAATATAAATAGGTTCAGACAAAATTATCTCAGTTTGTATGAACAGTTTCGATCAATATTGTCTGTTATATGATGAAACTGGAAATGTGCCATTTCATCTTTGTCGATGTCATGGGAAATAATTTAACAATGATTAGTACAAATTCTTTGCATATCCATGTATGTTATCTGGTCGTCTAATGCGTGATGAGCTTGTTTAGGATTCGTCTATAATTAGTTCCATCATATATACTGTGATACGCTATGAAGGTTTTACTGTATTTTCAATGAGGTGTTGTTTTTGCAATAATGGTTTTGTCTGATGTATATAAATATTGAAGCATTTTCTATGATGATTGCTAATACATACTCCGGTACGATTTTCGTTCTTATTCTGTAACAATATTTGTTATATATGTTGTGGTTTATCAACTATTATTTGCTTTATCAATTAATATAATATTTATTGTAATGTGCTAAGTTATCACTGTTTAAATCTATTAATTTTTTTTAATATTCTTAAAATTGATCCAATGCATAACCATCTCAGAACATACCCACATCGCAACAGAGAATTATTTCAAATTCAAATTCGATTTTTAATAGTGCAATGGATGAACAAAAGAAATGTTTACACGAAGATTCACGAAAAAGGATAACATGACCCTGTGTTCAGAAAAGATAAGTATCTATTTTTTGCTTCGTCGGTGACTCGTGTCATGTAAATATTAATCTGACAAAGTAAGTTATATGACGTTCCCAAATGTATAAAAAAAAGTACGTTTCATGAACTATTGTATGTGACACTCAGTATTTGTAATTTCTACTTTCGTATTGACTTCGTTCAATATTTTTGTCAGTACTTCTTAAAGTATAATCTCTCACGATTTTCCATTATTCCGCATATTTATAATCCTTCTGTATTTTAATCATCTACCAGACTACCTAATACTAACCACCCCAGGTCAGTTATTGTTAAATGCTAACTCGCTTAATTCTTAATCTGAAACATGTTCAAGTCTAATTCATAACACATTAATGCAAGTCCCAGAATAATCGTCTATTTAGCTCTTCATAGAATACCCGTTTACTAAGCTTTTATCAGAGAAAGCTCATTTACTCAGCCTCCATACAATACTCATTCACTAAACTCTCGTAGAATAATCATTTACTCAGCTACATAGAATTACTTAGCTCGACATAAATTACCCATTTACTCATTTTTTCATAGAATACCCATTAACTCGGCTGTATTATCCATTAAAACAACTACATATAATACCCTTTTACTCTGCTACATAGAATATCTATTCACTTAGCTCTTCATAAAATACCCATTTATTCAACTTCATAAAATACCCATTAACTTAGCTACATAGAATACCCATTCACTTAGGTCTTCATAAAATACCCATTAACTTAGCTATATGTAATACCCATTAACTCAGCTACATAAAATACCCATTAACTCAGCTACATAGAATACCCATTCACTTAGGTCTTCATAAAATACCCATTAACTTAGCTATATGTAATACCCATTAACTCAGCTACATAAAATAACATTAACTCAGCTACATAGAATACCCATCAACTTAGCTATATGTAATGCCCATTAATTCAGCTACATTAAGAGTTGACCGTACCATCAGATGTCATTTTATATACAAATCTATTATTGATTGCAATACTTAATCTTATGATATTAAATATGTAGATCTTCCCAGATCTGGTCCTGATCGCGTCATCACACGTGTGCTTCTGTGCAATGCACTGCCAAGAAATATAGCGACCTATTGAATTAAGACCTTTATGTATAGCTGCAGGTGTTAGTTCGTGCTTTAATTATATCTTTGTTGTAGAATTATACATGTACATGTATGTACTATATATGTTCTTGATTTATCAAACAGGAGAACGTCAAGAAATTATCAACTTGTCCTTTACATCCATTTTACAGATCGCCACGGGAAAGAATATCCACACTTTTTCGCCGATAAGAGATTACACAGGATGTGTTACCTGTATGTGTTTAAGATAAATCTATTACAGTCGAGGTTTAGTATTCTGTAAATAAGTCATACCGAGACTCGGATAATCCGTTCTCAACAGAAAAAGGTCGGCCATTCTTGTTTTCGTGTATAGATCTCCCAATTTTCCATCAAAAAGCTATATGTATTATTACCAATTCAAATCTTGATGCAACGTGTGGGAAATTCAGTTCAATTAGATATTGCATTTTTGGATTGTGACGTCATTTTGTGTTGAATTTAGAATAAAGGTACTTATCAGGTGCAATAAGACATAAGATTATAACAACAGTTATCCCAGGAGATGTCTTCATTCTCGTTTACTTGAAATCTTTGCCTCATCTTAGAATTAATGTGAGAGGAATCTGCCGTGACGACAATGTCATGAGGAATCTGCAGTGACAACAATGTCATGAGGAATCTGCAGTGACAACAATGTCATAAGGAATCTGTAGTGACAACAATGTCATAAGGAATCTGCAGTGACAAAAATGTCACGGGGAATCCGCAGTGACAACAATGTCATGAGGAATCTGTAGTGACAACAATGTCATGAGGAATCTGTAGTGACAACAATGTCATAAGGAATCTGCAGTGACAACAATGTCACGGGGAATCCGCAGTGACAACAATGTCATGAGGAATCTGTAGTGACAACAATGTCATGAGGAATCTGTAGTGACAACAATGTCATGAGGAATCCGCAGTGACAACAATGTCATAAGGAATCTGTAGTGACAACAATGTCATGAGGAATCTGTAGTGAAAACAATGTCATGAGGAATCTGCCGTGACGACAATGTCATGATGAATCCGCAGTGATAACAATGTCATGAGGAATCTGCAGTGACAACAATGTCATGACGTTACGTCAACATTGCATTCACTTCAACACATGAAGAGCAGACAGGTAGCATCAATGTTGCAAACATCACAGAGCACTGTTCTGTCAGATTCTTTAGTTTCCAGCCAAGTTAGGACTTGTGCTCATGAATGTGTAGTTGAAGAACCTACATCGAGTTACGAATCAAGAAGTTTTTCTACCTCATCAAAGAGTGAAAGATTTTATTAATACCTAAGACATTTATTGACTTTTAATCACCACAACTCTCTTATCTGGTTGTTGTCATTTCCTGAAACAATTTGGATTTTCTTCAATCTCGCCCTCTAATTCAACACATTAAGCTTTCGGCATCACTGATGAGTTCTAGACAGACGAAACAGCTGTAGTATAAATTTATCTCATTGTTTGGCTTTATTGTATCTTCCAAATATGTGCTGGGGTGTCATTCACCTTTTTGTATTTTTTAAAATCTTTTCTATTCATCCAAGAAAGCAGATTACTAAGGCAAATATATTGATCATTTCCTAAGGTAGGTGTTTTTCTATAAATACAGCTTTCACTTCACTTTCATAGATTTCACATAAAGTTACACAGTTGAATAGTACCATTTAATATAAATTTACTGTAAGATACAACAGAGCCAGGTAAGTAAATTGCATCAATACATCTCTTCCATCTTTCAAGGACTCACCAATGATGATAAGAGCCCAAACTCATTCCAGATAAGTACCACAAATGGCAAAATATTCTTGAATATTTCTCTCCTTTTTGTGTTTTTCGTCGTATTTATATCATATGACAGCTAATTGTGATATGAGATATACAAAGTAAACACGTGCAAGTGAACTTAAGTCTTGAGTAAATATAAATAATTTCTGTGTTTGTCGATTGCTACAAATCGATTAATGGAATGTTTAGTTGTGTTGGAGCACTTGAAGAGTTGTTAATAGAACAACAGACAAATGGACTACGGTTATAATGCTTGTAGGCTTACAATGGTTACATCAAACAATACAAGGCCTTTAACTTACCTGTCTATGCTAAATCCATAATGTTATACCTACCTCTCGTCAACACCACAGACTACTTTCTAATACTGGTATACACTAAGTGTCGCCATCCAGCATTGTCAGATACACATGTACCTGCCATAGGTTTTTGTAATGAACTTTATCCATGGCACATTAGAACAACCACACATAGGTATTGAGGCTTGTGTTGAAGGTAACACAGTTTTTTTACGCTACAAGTGTTAACTATGAGCCGTTCAGTATTCACTCTTGACAGTATCTTGTTACTGCAGAGATTGCCTTGCACACATGCCGACTGTTGTATATCCGGTGAGACAACGAAGTAACACCAAACAGATTGGTAAATTGCTAGCAACACAAGAAGTTTAAAGTTGTTGACCTATGACCTCGGCTGTGTCGGGGTCCGTACTTATTTTGATAATGGACACTGTCACGTGATATGCTACTTGGCTTTTAAATATTTTTGATAGATTAGTGCGTGATTGGGAAGCTAGATCGGTATGTCTTTCATAGGTATTTTATTAATACCCCAACACACCGTGTATATATATGTTTGCTCCCGACCACTGACACAGCATAACCGTCTTCTGTCTGTGTGCCATAAAATGGTAGGTTGATATTTTATGTTAAATCCTTGTTTGTACCTTAAAACAAATAAACATATGCTACTGTCCTATTCCAAATTAAGAATACCTTTAAGAAATAAACTAGGTTATATCAAAACCGATCGCGAAATTAGTATTCAAAGTTTTCTACATAAGATCGCAGTTATACATTGAGGCTATTTTTGGAAATTCTATTTTCCCGTTACGACTTTCTACAACAGGGTTGTGCACTGTAAACAAGAAGCATTCAGGCAAGTGTATGGCCCCTCTGCTATTTTTCACTTAAAACGTTGGTTCATCAGTTTTCATCAAGCTTCGATTGGTATTAGCATAACTTAATGCGTGTGTTTAAGCATTTGTTGTATTGATTTTACACCATTTATCAAACAATTTTAACAGCTCAGTGGCAGAAGGAATGGAATCAATATACTGATGATAAATCACATTCCGTAAAACCTATAATCGGTGAATGGTCTCCATGCTATAGAGACAACCACCGAGACGAAGTTTTCGGATGGGTCATACATACCTTACACATTCATATATGTGGTAAGGCGATGATGCATAGGATGTGATGAGCCATTCACCGTTAAACATTCTGCATTTACCTTCTGTCTACCCGAGAATTTTCTTATCGTAACGTTACATGTCTAAAGACCCTTATTGAAATTGTTGAGATTTATAAAATTTAGGTTATCTGAAAAATGTTGGTCTATATAATAGACTATGACGTACCATTTTAATCTTTTGTGATAATGTAACCATTGAAGATTTTTTGCATTTGTCTTTTACCTTTTGGTTTGTTTAATGTTATTTCCTTTTGGATCGCTGTGTACTTTCCCGGTTGATGGCCCTAATGACCTTGTATGAATAATAACAATATAATATTTTTTTCGTAATTGCTATAGTCCAATTTAAAAAAAGGACTGTCACATCATTTTTATGATGTGTTATTTCGCTTTTTTCACAGATAGATATGACGAAATTTTGACACAAATACTGTAATTTATCATCAATATTTATTACGAAATTTCTTATTAAGTTTTTATACATTTATAAAATTGCTCAGTAAAATCACTCACCCCCTCACTCGTTCAATCTCATTGACTCACTGACTCATTCGTTTACTCACTTACTCGATCAATTGTTCACTCACTCACCAAGCATATGTGTACTTTCGTCCATATATTCATGAATGTGTTGACAAAGTCATGAAAAATGAAGGTATTTGTATATTCTTATAAAATCAAATACAACAAACTTTGTATAATAAAAATGATAAAAAGTTACATGTGATGAATTATGAACGTCCAAGTTTAAATCATTTACGCTTTATTTATTGCGGTTTTCTTAAAATGATAAAAACAAAATGCCCGATTCCTTCCAAGGACGGACCGATACCGAAATCCATTATGACATACCGTTTAGCCGATTATTTTCGCGTGGATGATATTTTCGCTTATTCGTGGTACATTGATGTAATCGCGAAAATATAATCCGTAAAATAAAGATACACGTGTGAATAGATTTCCCTTTACATCCAGGTTGCTACATGTTTATTCGTTAAAATATAAAAATGTAATTCGATCGTTTGAAATCAAAATCGCGAAAAATTGGACCCGTGAAAATTATCAGCTACACAGTAATATTTAATAAAATAGCAAAAACGGCTTTTTCGTACATAAACCGAACCTGTAAAATGAATTGGTACCAAAACTAAACGTGCAATATGTATTTATATATATGTGTGTGTAGAGGGGATAGGTGTGTGTGTGGGTGTGCTCTTTTCCGTTTAAATTACACATAATGTAGGAAAATAAAGTCCTAATTTAATACGAAGCGGTAAATACTGATGAAAATAGGCCTCACATACTGTTGTTACACTTCAATTCAGAAACTCCTTCCTTATTGCACCGTACTTTGAACATATTAAAAACATACGACACAATTTAATCACTGATGCTGTGACAACAGAATGAACACAAAAGTGTTATCTATAGAAAATAAACATATAAAAATTCTATTATATAAATATCAAAAGTATATTCTAAATTTGGCAATTGTTTAAAGGTCATCACTACGACAAAAGTATAACCTCGTTATCTCAACCTCGTGTAGACTGAACATGCGTATTTCACGAAGTCGTAAAACGTTTACATGAATATCGTTATTTGTTTTTGGTATGATTTTTTTGTTTTTTGTTTTTTTGTATGACTTGCAAAGTTATTGATTAAAATACAGTATTTGGGAAAACGTTTCCAACCATTGAGTATAAAATAATTTACCAGAATAAAAGATATATTAACTTATTTTTTTTCCCCAAATTTAACTTCATCATATAAAAAATATCAAGTTTTTCATGTAGTTACAAAATTCAGAAAACTAATATCACAATTTCTGGGATAATAACCACCAGTTGTAAATAAATCTTTGGCTGACATACATAAATTCGTATCTATATAAGTTTTTATACATAGTCACGATTCGAGATAATCAAGTTTTAAGGACAAGCTAATTGATTGTATTTCTGAATCCCCGTAGATCGGTGTTGCCGGGAACCATGTCGTGTGTTTGCTTGGCCTATTGATGTACTCTATGTACGTCCTTATATAAAACCAGTTTATATACACCAGATCGGTTTGATAAAAGAGTCCAGGTGTGAATCTCGTACTAGCCCAGGTGTTAACCACGTATTAAGTCTTGTAAAACAGGATTGCATGTTTAATCATCCGTGAGATGTTTGGCGAGGGCTTCCACCGTCTCGTGTTCCATTTGTGGTACCTGGCAAAACAAAATAAAGGCCCCTTTAGCGACAAAATTCTTTTTTCCAAATAAATTGTGTGCCTTCCTTGAATATTCAAAATAAAAAAAAATAAATTCATGGAATAGTGTGAAGGAAGTTATCAATGAAGCATGGTCGGAAATATTTGTTTTAAAAAAATGAAAGAAGCAAAGTAAACAGTATGTAGCCATGTTTCGCCGAAAATAAACCATATTAACAGAAAATCTTATCGTAGATTGTTTTTTTTCTTTTTTTTTTTTACATACTAGCAGTTACGAAACATTTCCGATTTTATTAATTCTAAAAATAAATCAAACTAGTTTCACTTTCGATATGAGTTTGTGACGTCACGTGACGAGCCTAATAGGGATTTCGTGTATTTAGATGGGGTTACTACACCGTACATCAATATACCATAAAACAATAAAACCACATATCAATTACTCGGACAATAACATCAAACGACCATGTCCTGCCGAATCTGATATAGACTGCATGAGAAAGGGTTTGTTTTATCAGTAGAATGTGGTGTTATGTATCATCACTCGGCGCGTTGGTAGCTTCCAAGTATCGTTATCAGTATAATATAAAAAAAAGGGAAGAAGAGAAATGGCCACAGATTATAAGGACATCAACGACATCTTCTCCAATATATACTGGACAAAATAAGTTAAGGATCATAAATTGTGACCATAATATCTTTAAAAATTCAAATCATGTATTGCCGGTAATTGCACTCGTAGTTTCTCCAATATGTACCTAAAGTCATGTCAAAGGTGAAAGCACGTGCATCTGAAGGTCTTGCCGTTCCGCTCTAGTTAACTATGGTGGTGTGAAAAACTGACTGGTCTATTACTACAGAGGAATCTTGCAGGTTTTGATTCTGTTACTTCTAAGCTAAAAAAGTTGAATTTGGAAACATTTAATCAATTTGTAACGAAAACTTGAAAAACTAATCATGCGAAGACATTTAAATGATATGGAAGCCGCGCGAGCTATAGGGCTCCTTCAAACTGGTTAAACTCAACGAAATGTGGCGGCACAGCTTCATGTTTCTCAGAGCGTGATTAGTAGGCTATGGAATCGCTATCAACAGACAAATAACGTCCGTCAACGCCCCAGATCTGGACGACCACGCTGTACGACAGCCCGACAGGACAGATTCATTTGCATCACGGCACAACGTCAGCGGTTTTTGAGTGCTCCTGTCTTGAATCTTCAGTTTCAGCGTGCTACAAATCTAAGGATTTCATCCCAGACAATCAGAAACAGACTCCATGCCTCTAATTTACGAGCTAGAAGACCAGCAGTCCGACCAATTTTATCCAGAGGTCATCGACAATCCAGACATCAATGGGCCACTCATCATTTGAATTGGCAATTACGTCATTGGAGAAATGTTATGTTCACAGATGAGTCTAGGTTTTGTGTTGACTTCCATGACGGTAGGAGGAGGGTATGGAGAACCCAAGGAGAGCGCTATGCAGACTGCTGTGTTGTCCAGCATGATCGCTTTGGTGGTGGGTCAGTGATGGTTTGGGCAGGGATCAGTGTTGACTTCCATACAGACCTCTACATCATAGACAATGGATCTTTAACAGCTGTTCGATACAGGGACGAGATTCTACACCCTATAGTAAGGCCCATTGCAGGAGTTGTTGGCCATGATTTTATTCTGATGGATGATAATGCTCGTCCTCACCGTGCTCGTGTGGTCAACGACTATCTTCAACGTGAAGCAATCGTTCGCATGGACTGGCCAAGTCGTTCTCCTGATCTGAACCCTATCGAGCATGCTTGGGACACCTTGCAACGCCGGGTTTCAGCTCGACCTAATCCGCCACAGAACCGCCAACAGCTTATGATTGCTCTGCAAGAGGAATGGCAGCGCATCCCACAGATCAGCCACCGACGACTAATAAGGAGCATGTGCAGACGTTGCAGGGCAGTTATTGATGTCAACGGAGGTCATACTGCCTATTAAACTGCCAATTGCAGTTTGATGAGTTTTCCTTGTCTACATGATTAACTTGCTCTACTTCCTCTTACACTTTGATTTCAAGGGTGCTGTTACTCAGGGTTATCTGCTCTTGGTAGCAATTACCACAAATGAATTTGTTTTGTGTAATTAAAGACTAAAATGAATGTTCTGTCATTAAAATTTAAAATATAATCATATTATTATTTGTATGTAAAACTGCACTGTTTCAAGTTTATGATCCTTAACTTATTTTGTTCAGTATATATACATCTGAATGACAATTAAAGGTGTTCTCGGTTGTATAATACATCTGTATAACAAATACGCACAGACAGAATGAGCTTCAACTGACATATCTCGAACTCTGGATAATAAGTGAATAAAGTTATATGTAAGGGTCAATGAAGATGATCCATAGGACATTTTGGAATTGTTTCAAAGCCATAAAGGTCTGCAACCGAGCTAAACCAGGTTATGATAGAAATCATAAACGTTTCCAACATACCCGTTAACCATACTATAGAGTGAAATATCACAGTACATTGTAGTACCGAATTCGGTATAAGTGGCTGTATACTGAATGTATTTGTTACATAATAAGTTTTATATTGTATTTCCGGATTTACAAACAATAAGTTCGTTTCTGCCATTACATGATCCCACTAAGATTATTTCAAATTCAGTTCTGACGAAAAAGTTTAAAAGTAGACTCCATTATTTTAATTTCAAATCTAAATTACTCGGAAGCTGAATGAAATGAATACAGAGAGCGGGATGACACTCAAAGGAAAAACAACATGAATTTCACAAAGACACTTCTACACGAAATGAACCAAACACATATCCGGTTTATCGAGTATTTCTGGTACCACACGACGCACAAGTTAAGATGTCACGTGTCAAGAATTCTTTATAACCTATCATGTCCTGACGTTGTATTTGAATTTTTGTAAAAAGTCAATGATATTCAACGATATTTCAGTTTCTTTGATAGATGTATCTTATGTTATCTTAAAATCAATATTTTGAAGTTACCTGGTCGGCCATGTTGTCTATCCTGGCAAAGGCTTTGACATCCGGTACGAGATCTTTCCGAAGTTTCTGAGGAGGCCTCGGAGGTGGTAGGGATACTGGTGATTCAGCTTCCGTATCCTTCCCATCTACATCACTTATTTCTAATTTCGCCGACTCAAAATGGTCAGTTTCTTGGTCATTTAAATCCACATCACTGAATTCTGTTTCATCTCGTGTTTTTTCTACGTCTTCTGTGACATTTTTGTCCATATTTTCCGTCACATTCCCGTTGATATCGTCAGACAAGGTTTTGGTTTTCTTCTCCTCAGTGTCAAACGTTTTCCCGTAGGCTACTATATCAGTAATTGCAATATCACTGTTTTTATCACCATCCCCAATGTTGTATTTCAGGTTCTTCGATTCACAACAGCCCATTTTGATATCAGTCTTTCTCCGGTATTTTAATGTTCAACTGTATATTTTCTGTTCTTCTCGTCCCGTTCCCAGCAGTTTACTCGTCACCCAACAGCGTTTTGATGAATGGTATAGGAATGAATAATCAAACTTGTTGAATTTATTCAAATTCGATTTTTCCCATATTCATCAATATGTATGTCTGTTAAGTCCTTTCTCGAATTGCCGAGACGTCTCTGTAAGGGGAAAACCGCAATTGATGATCAGCGTTTCAAAATTGACTATTAGCAAGTGTAAATCCCTTTCGTTGTGTTCTATCGTTATACACCAGGTAAATCCAAACCACACAATACACTTTATCACTACTTCCTCAATCTAACTATGAATCACTGCAATCACCCACGTGTTCACGACATAAAAGAAAGTTTAACACTGTACAGATTGATGTTTAAACAGGTAAAAGCTCAGAGAAATTACCTTTTCACACTATACATATATTGACATACAGTTATATAGGGCTTATATGTGCACATCGCTTGAAATGCTATCTATTTGAACAGAAGTATGGGTTATATCTAATATTAAATAATTAACTGATACATGTAGTTACGTAGCTAGTGTATTACTGCGTATGTAATCTGGTAAAATAGGGATGTAAAATTCCATTGGCTGTTTACTTACGTTGCTGACGTAAACGATCTACATAAAACCCCACATCTTGTCCTCATAGGTAGAATTTTCGTTTTATCGGTAATTACTAGACATCCATGTGACGATCCATCAAAAATCAGTACACGCCTGTTGTTGTTGTTATATTTAATTAGCTTTGTATAGTATTCCCGTTTAGGTGTGTCTTTGTGACGTGAACACATACGTAGACAGCTGTCAGGTGAACCAAAATAGGTCACATGAATCCCAAAATCTGCATATCTGTGCAAGGTATTGTCAAATTAATCACAGCCCTTTGGCCGAATACACCAGGCCATCGTGTCCATCTGAAGGCTTATAATATTTCATGAACCTAGGCTATTTCCTCTGTAAGTGGCATTTTATAGTGACAAGTGTCACCTGGCGATAGTCAGTGTAGTATGTATGTACTCTGTCGTATATTTATATTCGTGTGTGCCTCTGTGTGTCTAACACCGAGACTGTACACTCTCGCATCTATAGAAAACCGGTTCTATTAAACACACACTTTTTACTCGGTAATGGTGACACTCATCCTCAATACAAATTGTGTGTCTAATATCAAGAAGAAACGACAATGTGAAAATGCGCCCGATTTAATATTTTAACAACAATCACGGCCTGATGAATTTACAAAATTGAGTACAAAAATAAATTCGTTTTGTCATACTGCTAAAACTGGGCGCAAATCTGAGGTGGGGGTATGTCAGATAGCAGTATGTATCAAATCTGATACGTATAGCATGCACCAGAGAACAATAGAATGTTGTGTTTCTGTTATATAACTACTCATTCATACTTTGAAGATATAGTCTATTGTTCTGTAAATATAGTGAACGGATAGATTCTATCTAAGTACGAGTTTTTTTTTATTTTGCTTAATTAAAGATTAGCATTTATTTACTAGATAAACATACATTTGTTTTGGTTACTAATTAACTAACATTAAAATACCATTGGCGTATGATAAAATTATACGCCCTTGTACTATCATAATACGTATATGTAATTTAAATAGTCTTATACTGGAATTTAGATAAACAACAGTCATTAACTATGTAACGTTTTTCTTAATGTTTGTTTACCAGAAAGATAACAAAAGGACGTATTTGTGTCAAAACATCTAAGTAGGCTTTGATTAAAGATATTTACAGTTTCCCGTCAATTGCCCTCCGGCTTTCTCTGCACGGTTTGTTACACTTGTCAGTTGAACTGTTTCTGATAAAATCACATCACAATTGTTCTAACACGTACGGTATACAGATAAGACAATTTTCATTACTACTGTATCACAATTACAAATGTAATATTTTTTATTATATAGCCAAGTGCCTACTACTATACATATATAATTTTCTATATATTCCAAACGTTATAATTACACAATAACATGTTCAGGTAGATAGGAGTTGCTTCCCTTGAGTTACATTTCTATACACATAAATCATTTCCTATGTATATGTATATAGAAGATATTTAATAGTGTCTTCCGTAATAACAAATATATTAAATGATATCTAATTATATAATTATGTATACTAAAATTTAAATTAAATATCGGTAAAATACTAGCATATTTGGAACAGATATAAAACGAGAAAGCTGACTAAACTTTTCGCGGAAACTACTCACTCAATATCTATAACTTCAAGGTACGCGACAAAATTTAGTCCATTAAAAAAACCGTTCGAAATATGTCAATACAAAAAAGGACAAATTTTCTGTAAAACGTTCAGAGGGATTTTTTATATATTTATTTCATGAAACATGTTGTTGCCGTATTCATGCGAGTATTTGTCATCTAAAATGTAACAACTATCAGAAAATAATTTTTACAATTTCCTCATGACGCAAAAATCCAGTTGTGTGGAACTTTTGTCTTCGTTGATAGACAGCAGAAATATATATGTGTAATTCACCAGAGCAAATCTTCCACGTTTCCATATATAGCTCTCTATGTTTCTGTATTGCTCTCTAGAGCTACTATTCCTTGTTCCGATGTATAACTCGCTAGACAATAGCTTATGTTTCACGTTTCTATGTGTTATTCCCTAGAGCGTATGTCCCATCTTCTACGTAAAGCTTACCAGAGTTGATGTTCCACGTTTTATGTGAATCTCGCTAGAGCTAATATTTAATGTTTTTTTATGACAAGCTCTCTAGAGCTCACGTTCGATGTTTGTATTTCAAGCTCAATTGAGCCTATGTTTCACGTTTCCATGTGTAATTCCCATCTTCTACGTAAAGCTTACCATAGTTGATGTTCCACGTTTTATGTGAAACTCACTAGAGCTAATATTCAATGTTTTTATGACAAGCTCACTAGAGGTCATATTCTATTTCTTTTTATTTCAAGTTCAATTGAGTCTATGTTTTACGTTTCCGTGTGTAATTCTCTAGAGCTTATTCCCATCTTCAACGTGAAGCTTACCAGTGCTAATGTTCTACGTTTTTTATGTCACGCTCCTAGAACTAATGTTCCACGTTTTTATGTCAAGCTCACTAGAGCTAATATTCCGCGCACCGCGTGTGTAAACGTAGCTCACTAGAGCTCTACGTTTTCATATATTTGGCTATATATAAATCCTTTCTTTATCCTGCTTCTTGTAAAACACGATTACAATAACACGTAATGTATATGTATATGTTGTTTGTATTTATATTCGAATGTGCTTCATTACATTGTGTCGAACTCTATTATGATTGATAAGATTATTGCTTATAATCTTATTACAAAATTGATAATTTATTCAAAAGTCACACAGGAATCAGAAAACCATTCTTGATTTATCAACTTGATATATACATATGTCTAACATAAATATAGCCAGCTTATTAATATATCTATTATACTCGTATCAAAATACACTACGTGTAAGGAGGACAATAACTTTAAATGCATTTCTGTAAATTACATTCTGTCAATATGCTGTATGATCTAGAGGTCTTCAGTATAAATTCTAGGGTTATGTATTTCCGATTGCGATCGGTAAGGTGAAACAATGTACGTTGAAGGGACGGAATGGAATTGCAGAGAGCTATAGACATTTTGGAAAGCAGAGCAGTTTACTTGCAGAGTGGACGGGAGGTTAAGCAGATAGGACGTAAAGTAGTAATTCTCACACCAGCACCACCTTACAACTAATCATAGTCCAGCGGACGGGACTTTAAACGGTGGCCTATGCGAGAATTCTCCAACCTCGCACAAACAAAATCTTCCTGCGGTTATCGATAATAAGAGTAGGCGCTTAACACTGCCCAGGAGCCCAAATAAACATATTAACATTCGGCCTAATGTCATTTTCATTCTATTAGGAAAGGACTTCTCAATTTCCCATAAACAAAAATTAATAATCATAGTCGGACAGCCTGGAGATTCGGCAGGAAAAGAGGACAAGAACCCCCTCCACTGCCGGAAGTCCAGACACATCACCACAAGATTACCTTTAGACCAGGGAGTCGTCTCCAAATTACAGACCAGTCAACCCCCAGACTCCAACCCATGAGGGGAGCACCCCCTCACGTCGCCAGAGAATCGACACACGTCGATTGGACTATGCCCGGCGATGGGCAGAGTCGCGGAGACGAGAAACCATCATCATCATCATCATCATCATCATCATCATCATCATCATCATCATCATCATCATCATCACCATAGTCATCATCATCATCGTTGTCATCATCATCATCGTCAGTCATCATCATCATCATCATCATCATCATCATCATCATCATCATCATCATCATCATTCCGAATAGTTTGGATAGTATCATCCAAACTGTTATCATTAACTTATCACACACCTCATCAACCAAATAAATGCTACGAACCTTAACACAAGCATACATTGATCTGAAATGTTACGAAATTTTACAGAACTTTACAGAAAATAAAACATATTTCAATATTTAAAACTTAAATAATTGAATGTTGGATAACATTTGCTAACAAATCTAAGAATATTACGTTCCATCGTTTGATATAACAATCACAGTAAGAAAGGGAACGTATGATATTTGACAGACCGAATTAGTCAGTCTCTTAAACATACCATTAAACACGACAACACATATCAATACACGTCCATGATAAATTCATCTCTAAAATAACATTTAGATAACATATGTGTGAATCCAAGGTACGATGACTCAATGTTAATCAAGTACAACTACTCGTCAAAAACCAAACAGAATTTTTAAACCGAGTGAAGGGTTGAAACAACAGTGAAAATTTAAATATTCCTAGTCTGAAAAATATCAATTATTAAAACATCAAGTTTAAGATAAACGATTATTCGACGTCCTTCAATGATGTTTCCTCTGACATTTCT